CTCTACCCTCAAGCAGTTCGTTTGGAGTTTAAAGAAAGGTGTGAAGAACAGAATTGTAACTAGGGCACAGGACCTGGCCCTAGGGTGAGAAATTTGCCTCAGTGTGGGAGATTTAAAGGACCACAGAAAAGCAAGTATATTCCTCTGAGGAGGCAGGGGTGGGACCCAGCGGTGTGATGTGGCTTTGTTGGGTGGGGTAGAGACTGGTGTTGGGATGGAGGTGGAGCTGTGTTCAGGGAGTTGGTGCCACGGACAGCCTAGACTGAGTGGACCCAAACTGTGACTCGGCCTTGAGATAGGAATGGGCTGCATTTCAGGTCCCAGGACCCTGGTACTTTAGTGAGAAAGTAGTTAGCAAAAGGCCACTTTATAGAACTTCTCACTGCGTGGGGCGAGGTAGGAACCCAGCAACTAACTAGGACCCCACCCTACCTTCCTTCATCTCACCCACCTATGTTGTTGTTTGTCCTTCTTTCTGGAAGAGGACCAAAACATCAGGGAGGTGATGCCATGACATGCAAGTGAATTGGATTCAAGTGAGGGAGGGCAGTGCAAAGTCACCAGCCTCACTTTCTCCTCCAGAGTCATCCATATCCAGGGGCCAGATATAGATCAGGAGGTATGGAGATGGCTCTGGATATAGTGGGAGACCTTGGCCTTTTTAAGCTAAGGTCTTTAACAGGTCTCAGTTTGACTGAGGCAACATTCATTTAAGGATAGATAAAAAAAGAGGTAAAGAATGACCTCTTTTACCTATTAAAAAAAAATCAATTTGGGAAGGGAAGACCCTCTGGCCAAAACAGAAACAATTGCTATTTACATTCACACACACCTCTGATAGGCCCTAAGAAATGGAGTAAGAATGGGGGAAAGCAAGGGAATACAATGCCTCTGACCTACTAGAAAACTTTGCATTTCCAGTCTAGGTGATTGGGTCTGTCTCTCTTTGTTTTGTTTCCCTGGATTCTCATACTTCCCAGGATGGGGGCCCAGTTGAAAGTATAATGGGCCACCCATAGAGTGGGATCCCTTCCCCTTTACAGAGGAATACAGGGAAGGAGAAATACTCAGGCCTTTGAATGTTCCACCACCTCAGCATGGTCTATCTTGACCTGGACACTGGCCCATCCAGTGGGGCAAAGTAGGGATAGGATCCATCCCCTGAGTCTAGGGTCATGAATCCTGCCTTCATGAGAATACGTCTGTCTCCACTATACCTGGAATTTTTTCACCCATGAAAATGTAGTCCTCTGATAACTGCTTAAACTTTCCCAAAGAGCAAAGAAGCAAAGAAGAGAGGGTAGAGATGAGCATGAAGGCCAAGGTACACCAAAGGCCCTCCAATTTGTTTAGCTTCTTGGCCTAAGTCACGAGACCAGGGACTTCATACGTGAACAGGCTTTTTGCACCTCCATATTCCCAGGACATGGTGGAAGGAGTTGGCAAATTTAACAACCCGACTAAAAAATCTGGATGAGAAGTCTGGAGAACTGGATTCTAACTCCTCTTCCGACACCAACTCTGGGCCTCTGTTTTCTCCTGTGTAAAATGAAGGAGTTGGAAAAGGTGGCTTGTAAAATCTCTTCCAACTCTAAGAGTCACGTCAGCCTAGGGCCAGGCTCCGTTTGACTTTAACTCAGACTCAATTTCATTAGGAGTTGAATGAGACTTCCATTGTGAGCTTGAGAAAGTTACTTCTCTCTAGGGCCTCACTTTCCTCATTTGTAAAAGTAAGGGTGTGGACGACCTTACCTCTAAGGTCCCTTCCAGCTCTAAAATGACACAAGCCCTCTTTAAGCCCCCTTTCACAAAACACGGATCAGATTATTTTGTGGGTTACCCCTTAAGAATCAGGCTTCTTGGATGCCCAATGTAAAGAAACAACTAGCTTAGGACCTAGGCATCTAAATGTTGTGCAAGCTAAATGTTGGACTTGAAGCCAGAAAGACCTCAGTTCAAATCCTGCCTCAGACACTTAATAACTATGTGATTTTGGACAAGTCATTTAATCTCTTCCAACCTCAGTTTCCTCGTCTGTAAAATGAGAATAATAACAGCTACTTCTCAGGATTGTAGTGAGGGTCAAATGAGATAACACGTAAAATGTTCTGTAAATTTTGTTGTTGTTCACTTGTTTTCAGTCATGTCCAACTCTTTGTGACCCCATAACAGGTTTTCTTGGCAAAGATAATGGAATAGTTTGCCATTTCCTTCTCCTTGTAAAGTTTAATTAGCTGTATAATTGCCAACTATTGTTATTATGGTTTACAAGAATTAGCTTAAATAGGTATCTACCAAATGGCCGGATTTCTCTAGAGACGGAAGAGAGATCCTCTCCATAGTTGGCTATTTGGCATATTGGGGTCCCTGTCTTTCACCATGGGGAAATGTCCTCACCCCCTCACCACTGACTGACATCCCAATTACCTTAGGATGCCTTTCATGTTACTTGTTGGGTGCAGTTTGTGACAGATCTGGGGACTCATTCTGGTTGCTGGAGCTAGGAAAGAGTTCATGGATGAGATAACACAAGTGTTGGGTTTTGTATGATGCTTAGGCTGGATATTCAGAAAGAAAGAGGGAGGACATTCTAGACTGGGGAGTTAGAAGGAAATCAATCCAAGTTCTTGAGCACCAGCACAGTGTAAAGTAAGCTAAGTGGCACTGGCCTGGGAGTCAGGAAGATCTCAGTGCAAATTCTACTCCAGACCGTTACTAGCTGTATGACCATAGTCAATGTCAGTCTCAGTTAACGTATCTGTAAAATGGGGATAATAATAGTACCTACTGGGTTGTTGTTGTGAAGATAAGATGAGATAGTATGCATAAAGGTACTACGTAAAAGTCAACTACTATTTTTGTTGTTGTTTAGTCATTTTCAGTCGCATCTGACTCCTCATGACCCTATTTGGGGTTTTCTTGGCAAAGATACTGCAGTGGTTTGCTATTTTCTTTTCCAGCTCATTTTACAGATGAGGAAACTGAGGCAAACAGGGTTTAAATGACTTGCCCAGGGCCACACAGCTAGTGTCTGAGGCCAGATTTGAACTCAGGTCTTCCTGACTCTAGGGCTAGGCACTGAGCTCTATCCCCTTTACCACCTAGCTGCTATTATTGAGCACTCAATTTTTTGTTTTTTGTTGTTGATTGATTGGCATTATATGTTAGTAGCAGTGTTCTAGGAAAATTAGCTTGGATGAATTGGAACATAGAAAAGAAAGCATTGCCAGAACTTAAGAGGTGATTCAAAATATACAGCAATAAATTTTCATTTCAAAAGCCTACATGATAAATATGACTCATCGTATTCAGAACTGTCCAACTTTTCCTTGTGATTTTTTTTGTTCTCTGCTGTGCACTTTTTACTTTGTTCTTTTTTCCCCTTCCTCCCCACCTCAAGAAGGCTATAATTAAGTACAGATATACATATGTATGTATATATATGCACATACGCAAACATGTATAGACATACATACACATGCCTATACTTAGATACCTATAATCATGCTCATACATAGACATATACATTCATATGCATCTATGTAAGACTGTACTGCACTGTACTTATTTGTCCTCAAACTTCCCTCTCTCTTGAGGGTACCACCATCCTTCAGAGCCACTCGCCCCTCTTCCCTCTCCCTTTTCCCAAATATCAAATCAAAAGTTGTCAAGTTTTGCTGATTCTACCTACTCAATATCTATCACATTAGTAACCTTATCTCCACTCACCAGCCCTAGCTTCTCTCTAGTCCAGACTATTTTAACAGCCTCCTGATTGGTCTCCCTGTATCATCCTTTTCTTCTCCAGTCTATTCTTTTCCAGTCCAATTGATCCTAAAGTATAGCTCTGACCACGTCACCCCCTTGAGTGACAAGAAACTTGAGTAGTTCCTTCTTAACTCTTGAATAGAGCACATATTCCTGAGTTTTAAAGTTTTTCCTAATCTGATTCTAGCTTCCCTTTCCAAGCTTGCTGTACATTACTCTTCCTCATGAAGCCTACATTCCTGTGTGACCTTGGCCAAGTCATTTTAGCCTCTGTGTGCCTCAGTTTCTCCAAATGTAAAATGGTGATAATAATAGCCCCTGCCCTCCTCTAGAGTTACTGTGAGGATCAAATGATATAATATTTATAAAGGCCTAATGTAGTAGGCACTATGTAAATGCTGATTGTTGTTTTTGTTGTCGTTATTCCAGCCAAACTGGTCTATTTGCTGTTCTGTGTATAGAATATCCATCTCCTTCCCCCATGTCTTTGCCCAGGTTGTTTTCCCATGCCTGGAACACCCTCCTCATTTATACCTCATAGAATCCTTAGTTTCCTTCAAAGTTCATCTAGCTGACTTTCCCATCTTTGTTCTCCTTAGTGGTATTACTGCCTCTTCTATAAGCACATCCAAGACTGTGATGTTAGAGTTAAAGCTTAGGGGCTCCCCTCTCCTTGACAATGAAAGGAACTGGTAATAAGAATCCTTGCAGATCTCCAGCTTCAGACACTTGCTAGTTGTGTGACCCTGAACAAGTTACTTAAACTCTGTCTGCCTCACCTTCCTCATCTGTAAAATAGGGATAATAGCATCTGCCTCCCAGAGTTGTTGTGAGGATCAAACGAGGAGATAGTATTTCTAAAGAGATTTATAAATCTTCAGGTATTATATATGGATATATAAATGCATAATAACAATATTCTACCTTGCCTGGCGCATATCAGTTCTTTTCCCCAGCTCTCTCTGGGAATATAGGAAACATTAATTTTATTTTTATGCTAGGCCTTGTCCTACCTCAGGTCAATACTAAATAACCACATACCATCAATCAGATCCACAAAAAATTAAGCCAATAAAGTAAATTTAAAAAATAAAAGTAAAGGACAAAACCACATCTGTGTTATATCATGGGATCTCAGTAAAATTCCATTCAAAAAAACATTTCTGACTTTTAAACTCACAACAACACTTAATCCAAATATCCATCAGGAGAAGTAGGGCAGATGCTCTCACCTGAAGCAGTTTCCTGATTCTTTTTAAATTATGTATCAAGAGCAGGTTCTTCTCTTGGGCAACTCGACCCAGCTGCTCATCCAGTTGCAGTAGCAGGTTTTGTAAGAGTATCGTTGCCATGGTCTCATTATTAGAAGCTGCTTCCCTATTAAAAAGAAAGCTATTGTTAGATAGTATTTAGCTTTGATTGGGTTTGCATAGGCTGCTTGGCACAACAGGAAAACATCAACTCTTTTTTGAAAAATTCATTTGCTTAGCTGCTTGCCTTTCATAGAATTTTAAATTTCATGTCAAGTGGAAAAAAGGTTTAATTATATTTGGTCATTTTTTGTTTATGTTAACCCTATGGCAGACCATCAATGCCACTAGGAAAAAAGAAGCAGCCGATGGTACTGTTGTATAAAGTATTTATAGCACCTGACATCAAAGATGTGATATAAGCTCAAATAGCATAATAATATACTAAGTATGGATAACAATCATGGCATCTTAAATAATTCTTTCCCCCAGGCAAATAAAAAAGTCAATAAATCAATATTAAGAATCTTAAGTAGTTTTCGGGGAAAAATATGTCAAGCCATTGGCCATTTTTTCAAAAGTTTTTTTTCTTTTTTTTTTTCTTTTCTTTCTTTTCTCTTTGCCTTTTCAAAATTACTCTTTAAAATGAGTGATAGAAAAAAAATGAGGTGATAGATCTGCATTTTGCTAATTAACTAACTATAGTTGGGGCAGCTAGGTGGTGCACTGTATAGAGTGCCAGGACTGGAGCCAGGAAGACTCATCAAATCTGGCCTCAAACACTTATTAGCTGTGTGACCCAGGACAAGTCAATTAACCTTGTTTGCCTTGGTTTTCTCATCTGGAAAAGGAAATGACAAACCACTCCAGTATCTTTGCCAAGAAAACTTCAAATGAGATCATGAAGAATCAAACACAACTGAAAACCATTGAACAACAACAAAAAATGTGGGTAGGTGAAAGTTGCTTTTCAGAATCTCCTCCTCTTTCCCCAAGAAGGCACCAGGCTTTAGGAAAATCATGTACTCTATGAGAAAGTCTTTGATTTTCTGATCAAGAGACATTTGTGGCCAACAATAAAAAAATAAATTATTTTATTCTTCAGTTTTTTTTAGCAAGCAAACCACTGAGGCAATTATTCAATTTTGCCTTGAAAATTAAAGCAGTTGGAATCTTGTTACTATTGATTTTCTGTACATGTTGGATGAAACTCTCCAAAGACAATATACCACATTCTAAATAAGTGAGAAGTATTTTTTTAAGCTTAAAAAGGTGCAACTACATTTTCAGAGTTCATAAACAGACCATACCAGAAACCCATAAGGATAGAAAATAGAGCTTTCATGTATCAATCCCTAAGAACAAGAAAAATGTTTGAACCTACCAATCCTGGCCTTCAATCCACTGGGCCAGGAGATGTCGAACTTCCATGGGGAAAGTATCATCGTAGAATTGATCTACTTGCTCCAAAAACTTGATTTCCAGTTGTTGAACTTGATTCCACTGAGACATAATCTAAAAGAGGATGCAAATAGAATTTTACTGGAGGCAGAACAAAGATGTCAGAGTAAAGGCAAGGATTCACCTAAACGCTCCCAAATTTCCCTCCAAACAAAGTTAAAATAACACCTCAAATGAATTCAGAAATAAATATAATTTTATTTGAATGTTTAAATTTGAATCTTGGGTCAGGGCATTTTCTCTGCCTGGTCTCCAGGTATGTAATACTCTCATTCCTCAACTCTACCTGCTGTCTTCCCTGGCTTCCTTTAAGTCCCAACTACAATCCCACCTTTCAAAAGAAACCTTTCCCAATCCCTCTTAATTCTAGTGCCTTCCCTCTGTTAATTATTTCCTATTTATTCTGTAAATAGCTTGCTTTGTATATATTGTTTCCTCTCCTTAAGGGCAGGAATTTGTCCACTGCCTCTTTTTGTAACCCCAGCTGCTAAGCATCAAGCCTAGCATATAGCAGGTACTTGATAAATGTATATTGATTGATTGATTGAATTTTGTCAATAGTTGTGACATTTGACACCCCCTCCCCAATTTTGAGGAGAGTCATATATCCTTATTTTTGGCAACAGTCTCTCTTCTTTCCATTTTCACCCCTCTACTTAGGAGGGAAGGAATATTTTCAGTACAGGGATATGAATAGTCCACTTAAGCCTGACAACAGACTCTTTACCTGAGTCAACCCAAATTCATGGAACAGCCTTCATCTACTGGCCCCCAAACCACATCCTTCCCTGCCTTCAATTTGAAGCTTAATCACCAACTCCTCCAGGAAGCTTTCAATGATTAAAATCAACCATCTAATATCCTCTCCACATCTTGCACTCAAAATTATTGTCTTCACCAATATAAATTTATATTCATTTTATAGTTATTTGTCTTTTTCCCATTGTATGATTTTTAAACCCTTTGAGGGAGATCTAATTCAATCCAATAAGCAGTTGGGTATTTATTGTTTCTCATTTCCCCCATCTAAGTCTGAGTTCCATGAAGAACTTCCCTGTTCTTGGTCTTTCCTTTAAACTGTCAGCTCATTTTGCCTATATATTTTCACAGCTATTGTTTCCTTCAAGTCTCCGAATATCAAAATGTAATTCTGATCTGGTGACTTATTTTCATTTTGATTTAACACCTTGCATTATCACTTGGCACAGTCTTCAAAGTGGTTCCTTATAAAATATATTTGAATGTGTTGCAATACTTAAATTCTATTCAAAACCCAGTATCCTTGAAAATGGTAGATGTAGCATGGTATAGTGAGTAGAGAGCTGGTCTCAAAACCCAGAAGACCTGGTTTCAGGTCCTGTCTTTGACACATACTTCTTTGAGCTTTTCTCAGGAAAGGGGGTAGTGGTGGCCCAGCACTGGTTCTCTGCCACTTGAGGCAAGACCAGGCAAGCATCATAGATGCCTTAGAGGTTTTCTTTGAGACTATGGGAAACATGCTCCATATATCACATGATAGAACATAGGAGCATAGATTTAGAGCTATCAGTGAGGGGCTTTATAGGTCATCTTTTGTATAGGTGGTAAGTAATAGATCCAGGATTTGAAGCCAGGTCTACTGGTTCCAAATCCAGCACTGTCTCCACTCTACCACTACATCACGTGGCTTTAATGTAGCATAACCAAATATGCAGTATAAAAAGACTGGAGTTCTGGTGGTGGGTGACTGCATCTTCCTAGAAAGTTTAAATCTTAGCCCCTGGGCAGACAGCTGAGACTAAAAAAGAGGGGCTACCCTTCAGCAGCAGCGGAGAGTAAAGGCAATCCTGTCACATCAGGCCCCATTGTCTCTCTATTAGGAAACTCTCTATGGTACCATGGGGTACTGAGATGAATGACAACTTTCTACGCAGTTAGGGCAGCGGCCCTCTGATCACTGGGTTCACACTTCCCTCCAGGCAGAAGGCTGGGTGTTTTCACTCCCTTCTCAGAAATCAGAATTTTCCATGGGACCTTGGGCACAACTCTCTCATTCCCTCGTCCTGATAAAGGCCAAAGGGCAGCCCCAGACCCAAAGAGCACCTTTATCCAAAGCAGCCACGGCTGTATTCTGTAAAAGGCAGACTTCGGCAAACTCGGGTCCCTACTCTTGGTAGGTTGACTGGCTCTAAGCCCTTTCCTTGCTCCCCAGCTCCTCCTCTTGAGAAGCAACATGACAACAGTCACTGGTCTACTTACTCCGTTCTGTCTGTCTCTCTCTCCCTTGGCTCTGATCGCAGTCTGTGCACAGGCCAGATGACTGACTGAGTAGCACTCACCACACTTACTCTCTGGGCTGAAGTTGCTGGTGCCCCTGCTCCTTCAATAAAGAGATTTACATTTCTCCGCCCACTTGAGGCTTTCCTGTACGTCACAGTCGAAGCCTCTGAGGACTTTACTCAGGTCCTGCTCCCACCCACTCTTTTTTCTAGAAATGCTCAAACGCAGAAATGTAGTCGGGCTTGGAAGATACTGTTGTTCAGCTTTCTTCTCTCCTCTCCCACACAGTGCGGCTCTATGCCTTCCCTGTGGGCAGGGGAAGGGACAATGAGGCTGCCCAAAAGGGAGTTCCCTCATTCACTTCCTTGCCAGAGTGCCCACTAGAGGCAGTTTACCGTCTTTCTGTTGTCCAAGCATCAGTGACTGACTTCCTGTGTTTTCAGAACCAGACTCCCCGGATCCTCCGTAGTCAGACTCTGGCCACGGGTGAGCTGAGAGCCACCAGGACACCACTGCAGGGCTTTAGAACATCAATGGTGATCTTGGGGTGCCACTCACACAGAAAGTCTTTAGATCAGGGGTTTGGGGAAACAGCCACATTTCTAAGGGCTGGGACTAGGAGGGACCTCAGGAGCTAATTGAGGCTCAGAGATCAAGTGACTTGCCTAAAGGTCACACAGCAGGAATCATGAGCAAAGGGATTTGAATCCGGGCCCTCTGATTCCAAAACCAATCCTCTTTTCATTACTCCATCGTCTTTCTAAGACACTGAGTCTCTAGGAGGAATGCGCAATCCTCAGCACCTTACAAATAAATACATATGGCCTTACAAATGCACTTTTCTCCCTTTCCCTCCCCATCAGTATCTGTATCTTCCTGGCATGATATGAATGACACCAAAGAGGGGCCCCCTACTCAACAATAGGATCCAGAGCTAGACAAGACCCCGGAGGCCATCTGGTCCAATACCTCTGTTTACAGATAAGGAAACTGAGGACTAGGGAGATTAAGTGACCTGCCTTCCAGAGCCAGGTTGGTTGTGTTCCCCCTACCCCCACGGTACCAGACTTCCTCTTAGTTACCCGTTCTCTGTAATGCTCTCTCAAATCTGAAAGTAAGGCATTATGCTTCCGAGAGTTCTCCACTAAAATACAAAGGGAAAGGAAAAGCCATTATTGTCTTAGCATGAATTCATTCCCAAGGTTGTTTTCCAAACGCAGATCTAGCTAAAAGCAGGGAGCTTGGGATAATGGTTCATAGGCCAGGTAGGAAAGTGGAAGGACATGTCTGCAAGAGATAAAACTAACAGGGAGGACCAAATTGGAGAGGCTCTATGGTGGGGAGTTCTGAATAGCCAGGGGACATTAGGACATTGAGCACCTAAAGAGGTCGGAGGAGAAAATTGCAGCAAGGAGATTTGGGAGGATACCAAGGACAAATTTTGCTGTTTTTCAGTTTTGTCTGCTCTCAGCCCTAAACTTGACTCACCATTTCACAGAAAGAAAATTAGATGAAAACAGTAGGTAATAAGAACCCAGCTTTAGAGTTGGAAGGGACCTAAAATGTCCTGTAGTCTGACCTCATCATTTTATAGAGGTGAAGTGATTTGCCCAAAGTATTACAGCTAGTAACTAGAAAGGTACAATGATATTTTTTCTTCCTAATTAGAATTCTTGAAAGTCAAAATTCTGGCTGAACATGGTGGTGCTCATCTATTAAACCTGCTAATGGGAAGGCTGAGGCTGGTGGATTGCTTGAGTATGGAGCTCTGAGCTGCAGTTAAAGCTGATCCAGTGTAGGTTGGCCAATGGATTATCCCTCCAACACCTTTTGCACATTCCAACTCTAAGCCTTAGCATCCACTGTTCATCTTGCCTAGAATTTTATCCCCACTTTTCCCACCTCTCTGAATCCAGTAATCTTTCAAGGCCCAAATGAACTTTGAAATCCTCACCAATGAGCCAGCTTTCATTTGTTACATGGGAGGATAGCAGCCAAGGACGAGAAAGTATGAGTGGTGACTTATGTCCTGCGAGAGAAGACACCCAATGATGACCCACACACCTATCCAAATATTGACATCACACAGATTAAAGCTGTTTTTAGGCAAAATTACAAAATATGCAAAGTTGTTCTCAAGAGTCTCTCAACTCCCCTTTCATAGTCTCCTGAAGTCCTACTTCCTTGGGGAATACGCTCTGAGCAACTCAGCCCCCAGTGATCTCTTTCCTCTGAATTCTCTTAATGTTTACTGCCTATTATATTCCATCTTCCTACTATCAAAGGCCTTGTTTTCTGCCCCAATTTGTCCCCACTCAAAAGTTCTATTCTCTGCTTGTCATCATTAGATACATTTTTAATATGTTGTATGACTATTTTCCTCAACACGAAACTTCCCTGAACATCTGTACTGCATAACAAGGCATCATACCAAGCATGGAGGATACAAAGAAGGAATAATATTAATAATATTCTGTTAATGCCTTCAAGAAATTTATAATTTAGTGAAGACAACATAAAAGGATAAATAACTACAAGGTAGTATGTGGTAATTTCCAAATGAAGAGAATAGATCATAAATACTTTAGTTTCACAGAAGAAAGAGAAATAGGCTAATTATAATTATTAATAATAATATCAAGATATCAATTTTTCCTTAAACCATTTCTATCTAAACTTCATGAAATAATTTGAAAATGATGATGATGATGGTAATAATTACTCTCATTTGTAGTAGAAGCCTTAATACACTTTATCTCATTTATTTAGGATGGCAGGACCTGAAGTTGAATGAAATCATCTCATTTTACAGTCGTGGAAACTGAGCCTTAGAGGAACAGTGATTTTCCCAGAATCACATAGGTAGTATATATGTATAGAGCAGGAATTTGAATGTAGGTCCTTGGACTACTACAAATCCAGTGCTCTGTCCAGTAGTCCAGACTTAACTGGAAGCCCCTTAGGGACAGTGGTCATGTCTTGTAGTCTTTGTATTCTAACCTCTCTTAGTGCAGTCGTTGTATATGGTAGGTGCCCAACAACAACTTTTTTGATTGAATTAGTGATTCCATTAAATACAGTCCTCAGAGGTGATGAAAAGACACCTCTAGTGCTTCCCTGCAGCTGGCTGAGAAACATTATAGGCTGTTAATCCCATTACCCTTAACAAATTCTCACCTGCTCCTGAGGATCACAAAATCCCTAAATTTAAGAGTCAAAAAGAACCTCAGTGACCATTTAGTCTGTAAGATATATTATTTCAACATTACAAGGATTCGTGATTTTGTTGGTATGGGTCTTCCCGACACTTTCCTCTTGTCCCTTCTACAAACACACCTTAACTGATGCAGTTAGTTCATAACCCTTAGTCATCAGCAAATTGCTATGCCTTCAACTTGACGGTCAACCTCAGGCCATGTGCATGCTAGCCTGTCTTGTCCCTGAAGCCTTTCCAGTACAGTAAGACCTACCTGAATTTGTAATCCATTGGTATGGCCTTCAAGACTCCAGAGTCATGTCCATACATTCTAAGGAATGAGAGTGAGACTTTAGTAAAGGAAAACATCTAGACTTGTGATTCCATTAGTGTAGGGAACATTCCCTCTACCAAGGTAGATAGCTGAGTTCTCTACAATTTGTAATCATAGAAAGTTTCCCGGGGCACAGAAAAGTTAAGTGACCTGTCCAGAGTCACACAGGCAGTATGTATCAGGACTTCATCTCAGGTCTTCCTGACTCTGAAGCGAGCTCCCTTATCCACTCTGTCATGCTGCCTCTCAGATGACTAGCTTTAGAATAATTGTTATATTAGAAAAACTAATTACTTAATGAGCTAGAGAAAAGGTAAATTACTAGATTTAAATATGGATAAACCTAGTAATGCCAGAGTACTGGTGCTGCTCATTATATACTCTATCTTTGTATTTGCTATAGATCAACAAGCATTTATTATATATTGAACTGAACGAGATACTCTTTGCTCTTCCAGTAAGTTTTCCCTCGTAACTCATAGACACTTAGACATAAATATAAAAGTCTTATCGTGTAATTTTTCTGACCTAATACGCATTTCCAGCAATGTTCCCCAGATGGAGAGCAAATTAAACTGTCTGTAGGGACAAAGCAACCATTTAATAATGATTTTCTAAGGGTCTTCCTGACCTTTTAAATACTCTGTGAAGTAGTCTTATCTTTGGATTGTTTATTCCTGGATTTTGTCCCAAAACAGCCCAATAGAATTAGGATGTGGAATATGTTATAAGCGGTTTTCTGCTATCCATTGTACTGACATGTTCTCCCAGAAGTAGACACATAATATAATTAGAAATGTTCTAATAATGCTTCTGAGAAAAGCAGATCAATTCATTAATGAATGAACCACTCTCCTGCTTCTAGCTTTTCCCTACGTATGGAATGCTCTCCCTCCTCATCTTCATTTCTTGGCTTTCCTAACTTCTTTGAAGTCCCAGATAAAATCTTGCTTTCAATAGTAAGCCTTTCCCCATTCCCCTTAATGAGAATTCTTTTCTCTGTCGAATATCTCCATTATGTACTCTCTCTCTCTCTCTGTGTATATATATATATATATATATATATATATATATAGTCTTCATATAGTTGTTTGCATGTTGTCTCCCCCATTAGATTATGAGCTTCTTGAGAACAGGGAATATCTTGTCTTTCTCTGTATCCCCAGTGCTAAGCACAATGTCTAGCACAGATAGGCACATAAATGCTTATTGATTGATTGACTGACTTGGGCCTTGCCTAAAACCACATACAGGAAATTCCTGTATTCCCACTCTAGTTCATCAATTTTCTTCTTTTCTTCATTCAATTAGCTCTAGAAATCCCATTCCTTACCCCCTTCTTAATTGAAAAAACAGAGAGGATTCTGGGAAGATGGAAGAGTAGGTCAGAAAATTCCAAGCTCTCCACATTTCCCCCACAAACAAGACAAAATAGCACCTCAGGGAGAACATGGAGCCATAAAAATAAAGAAAAGTTGGGGTAGAACAATAGTCCTCCTGGGACAATGGAAAAAGAGCCAAAGAAAAATCCGAGGACTGAGGTTTGGTCCCTGTGAAGTTTAAACACCTTCAGGCTAGTTCCACTGAAACAGCCAGCAGCAAGCCCTAGGGTTAGCTGGGTTGGGAGGTAGCCTTGGCCCCTGCCTCAGGAATTTTCACCTCCTTGAGAGTGTAGCAAGCCGGGGATCTGAGCAGGGGGAAGACTGAGGGAGCCTCTGCTGATAAGGGATGCCAGGCCTAGCTGTGCTGTGG